GAAAACTTCCTCCGCCTTCGGCGGCGGCGTGTAAATATTAGTTATCGGCGGCGAATCTCATAATTTAAGTAAAACAACGTTCTCTTTCATTTCTGGCACGTTCTTCGCGCCCTGACTGTATCTGTATGTTGCCGTATACCAAAACATAGAAACGCGCTGCACGCTAGATGCATCAGGTAAGAACGTACTAACAAAAATAGTCAAAATTTTTGGGAAAAAAATTTTCTTCTCCCTCGGCGACGACAAAGTTCAACGACATGGCGGCGGCGGAAGTCAGAACAGTTTTTCTCCGCTGTCAGCGGCGGCGGCGGAAGTCGCAATAATTTTTCTGCGACTTCAGCGGCGGCGGCGGCGCACATCTCTGATTACAACTAGACGAAGAAAACGCATTAGTCGTCACTAGTTCTCTTTCTTTTGCTTCATTTGTTCTATCTTCCTCATTTCTTTCGGTCCTACTCATTTTTTCTTTCGCGGTTTCCATATTTCTTCCTGGTCTCGTCTGACATATTCTTTTTTTTGTCACTCGTCTCTGTATTCATGACCCTGACGCCCTACATCACACGAAAAAGAGAGAATGAAAGAGAAAAAATGAACATTTTTTCGAATGTTTGCTCTATCTCATTCTCCATCGACCAGTGAAAAGGAATAGATTGCAACTGAAACAGACGCAGTTGTGATTTTTGTGCAAGTACTGATTTTGTAAAAGAATTGATGTGATGAGAACGTCTTTTGTAAGTTTATTTGATCAAATAGAAGATTTTGCAATGAAATAATACTATTTCCGTGTCTATTTCATTAATTAAAGCCATGATCGTTCTTCTTCAGGTGCTGGAGTAAGACTTAGACAGATTACCTGAATAGCTACTTGAGCATCTGTAATGTTATTATAGTTTTCTTTCGTACAGATGATCACAATAATCTTGCTGACTTTTCTCCGATTGTTGATTTCTATTGATACCTTGTGTTGCCGTTGTAAAGCTTCAATCGTATGGCCATCGTGTCCAAACAGATTAAATAGATCATGTGGAGCAATAAGATAGGCCTTGTGAATATATGCAGTGCTTAGTGGCGGGGGGGGGGGGGGGGGGGGGGGGGGGGGGGGGGGCCCCCCCCCCCCCCCCCGCGCGGGCCCCGGGGCGCCGGGCGAGAACCCCAGGGCGGGGGGTTTTTGGGGGNACCCCCACCCCCCCCCCCCCCCCCCCCCCCCCCCCTCACGCCCCCGCCCCCGGCGCGGGCGCCGGGGGCCCCGCCCCCCCCCCCCCCCCCCCCCCCCCCCCCCCCCCCCCCCCCCCCCCCCCCCACTAAGCACTGCATATACTCACAAGGCCTATCTTATTGGGGGCTTTAGGGTGGGCTGAGCCCACCCGAAAGGAAGTTAAGCCCACCCTGAAAATTTTTTCAATATATTCGAAATGAGCTTAATGTTTTTTCTGCTGTCCCCAAAATGGGTGGGCTAACGTAAGCCCACTCCAGAGCAAAATCCTAGTGCCGCCACTACCAGTGCTTGGTAAGATAACCTTAGAATGAATCCAATCTACATGGATTTTTAATCGTTGAACTGGTTCCAAACCTAATAACGCTCGAGACGTATGTTTTAGTTTATGGACTGGCACTGCTATTTGTCTTCCACAAGAATCAATTATTACAGGTCCAAAGACGGCTACCTCCGTCTTCTTTCCATCGAGTGGTGATTCAATTTCAATTGGTGAGCCTAGTGACACTAATTTCAGTTTTGGAATGTATTCTGGTGGTAATCCGAATTCGGACGAACCTGTATCCAATTCAGCTACTGTTTCGAAACGACATACATCAGATTCGGGCATCATTCCATTTTGAGAGTTCCATAGTTGATGCGCATTGATCAATACTATATCACAGCTTATCCAATGAGTAGCAGCAGATCCGACCTTTGACATGGCTTAACTAGAAATAGAAAATAGAAACATACCAGTTTACATATAAATAAGATACTTTTTAATTTAAGATTTTAAGTTCAAATTAATCCATAAGATTTCATGTAATAACTGACTATAGGAAATACAATACACTCTGCTTAAAGGAAAACTGTCTTCGATTATTTTCAATTATTTCTTTTTATAAAATGTCCTTGAATATAATGATAGTTCAAAAAGATAATATATGTTACACAATGTATATCTGAAAAAAAGTTGATGGATCGAGTTAGATTCTTTTGTAGATTTAGACGTCATCAAACTGCAAGAACCGAAATATTTTCGACAAACAATCGACTCTGTAATCATTCTCTGATTTTGGTTAATGAAGCAAGAGGTCACTGTTTGCATAAACTACGTACTTTACGTGTCGAAGAAGATAGGAAAATAAAATTTGTAATGAAAATTACAGTTCCTCAACATAAATAGAAGGTACTTTCAAATGATCATTCAGAGGTGATATTTTTATTCAACGCAATTACCAATAAGGTTAGAAATCGAGTAAGAAGCAGAGAAACATGTTTCAGCGGAAAATGAACGAAATTCTAATTATCATAGGCTTTACATTTTCGGTAAAATTTTGGATTGCAATTTATAATTAGCTTTCCTAAAATTTCACTATCAAAGGTTAAAAATCCCAAAGTGTACTCATCATTTGACAAGAATAATCGGTGTAGATGAACCTTACTATGCGTTTTCTAGTCTCATCAAATTTAATAGGTCAATAGTTACTTAATTCCTAATAAGATATCACATCTGAACTTATATCTGCAGTATGAGATCTGAAATTACTGTATATCGGCGTTAAAGTCAAAATAGTACTATTAAACAGTTCATAAAATCATAATTTGAAAAAACAAGCTATTATGATATTATCTTTTACAGTTTGTTTTACGATAGATGCGAATCATCAATAATTGTCTGCAAGCAAAAATTAGAAGTGTTTACTAAGCTTCCTTCAATCAAACGTATATCTAGAACATAAAACAGTTGCATCTAACTATTCGTACATTTCTAGCGTGTATCTTGCGAGCCATGATAATTAGAATGAATTTATAACTAGTTCAGAGTCATCAAAAACAAAATGGACTCATCATCATGAAGATCACAGTTAGCGAACCTCACGCCAAAAATGTGTGATCATCGTACATATCTGCTTCAGTTTAGTTGTACAACGATAGTGTATCAATAGTGGCACTAGTTTTTGTTTCTATTTTAAACTGATTATGAACTTTTCATTCCTCTTGACATCGAAGACTTTTTAAGATGTACGCCGCACTTTTTTAGTTCGTAGTCACGAGGTGCCTGCTTACATGCAAACAATATATATTCTATATACTTGAAATTAACAAATTTTCTTATTTCTAATTGTTTTGAATGGTATCCGCTTTGCACAAGTTCATATCTGAGAATTTCTCACTGAATTGTAACGAAAAAGAATTGGATTAATCGGGTAAATTTTCTTTCCGGCCTGCTTTGTTTCGAAATGAATCTGTCTCAAACGGTAGGTTTGAAGAATATATGTGAAGTTTTGATTAATTGAGAAAAAAAATAATATGATGATTTTTTTGTCTGCAGGACGTTTGTTCTGCTTGTGTAGCAAGAGAGAGAACAAGGCACGAATAACTGTATCTCAATGTCTGGTTTCACTTTTCAGACGTCTAGGAAACAAGAATCGAAATATGGATTTATGTAAAAACAATTGTTTTATGCTTGTAAGAAGTGTTTAACACACTTTAACACATTGATTTATTGATTACTTAGTTCTATGTTTGTTTCTAACAAAGAGTATATGCGTCTATCGATTCTATTAAAATGCATGAATAAAGAAGTCTTTTGGGTTTAGATCTTCTTGTTGCTGAAAGAATCAAGTCTTCGTCTATAGACATTTTTTGACACTCAGCTATCGAACAACGTAAAAATATATGAGACTGTTTTTGCATTTTAACCCTTTACCCCCCATAGCGGTTCCAGAAGAGCCACTGATGAAACAACCATTGGGATAGAGTATTGGCCTCCCCAATATGCCAATGGTATGGACAGATGGACCAGATACTTTGTCCTTTATGCAGAGTAGCTTGGTCACTAGTGACCATTGGGAGGGAACAACTTGAAAAAATCCTAGTTTTTTTCTCTTTATGAGAGAGCGTTGATTTTACAAAAATGCCATCGATTTCTTTATGTTTGACTAAAATGAACAAACGAAAGCTGAATACATGAAAGAATACTTTTTACAATAGCACACGTATTTTTGACACACGTTTTAATCCATAAAATAGATATTTTTCAACTTTGAATGTGATAAGATTTAAAACGATTATGTGCAGGATGTACACATAGGTGAATGTTACATTTTGAACATATCCATTTCGTTCGTTGTTTACATCCTTCATTTTTACAACGTAAACCACTTTTTGCAGGTTGAAACGTGGGCCAGTGATCATGTGCATCATATCTTAATGTATCGGACACACTCAGTTTTGATTCACGTTTTGATCTTTTTTTTGGTGGTGAATAATTTTCATTTTCATCATCCGATTCAGCTGACGAATAATCAACTTGTATAGATTGTAAGACAGATTTTGTAAAAAGTGTAGGTCTCTGTAATAGCACACGTGCTATTTCAGATTTGAATCGAAACATACGTTCCATACGCCAATTACCACCACGACCAAGTCGATGTCTTCATATTAACCACGAATTCGACAGCATAAGATCAAATACACGCCAAACAAGCCGCATATACCACTTTTTGGATCGGAATGGTATTGGATGTAAGGAACATAACATATCGGTTGTGTCCACACCACCCATATGTTTATTATATACACTGATAATTTGTGGTGCTGATATGTCCACTTTTTTCCGTTGATTCTTATCCCATCGTGCCAATTTCACAATTGGTTCTATTCCAACATAATTTGATCCGATAAGAACACATTTCAAATCTTTCCAAGCCACCAATACACATTGTTTATCATTTGTTACACGATAATCATTAAAACCACGAACTTTTTTTCTCATTTCTTTTTCTGATAGTAACGGACACTTATCAATTCGATTGCGTCGTAATGTACATACAACACCGAAACCCAATTCAGTTAATTTTCGAATCAATGCAACTGATCCGAAGTAATTATTAACGAAAACTTTTGTCCCTTCTGGAACATTTTTAAGTAAATCAAGTACCACCATTCCGGAAGTATCAAATTTCTTTCTGTCTTCATGCTGTCTTGTCGTCTCTTCATAATTATCAACAGTTGTAGCAGCTAATCGAGTTGTTCGTGCTAATATACTAGCCGGACCGGTCATTGTTGGTTTGGGAGCAGCTTTATTGGCACCACAATATAATTGGATTTGATATACGAAGCCTGATACTCCGCTTTTCGACCATAATTTAAATCCATGTTTTGATGGCTTGTTTGGCATATATTGTTTTAGTGATGGCGGAGCTGTTTTGCCTTTATAACCAACCATTTGTTCATCAACTGACATGTGTTCTTCTTGATCGACTAATACTGCACAGCGTTTATTGAATAGATCAATCAATGGTTGGATTTTATCACATTTCGCTGCATTCAAAACATTGTCATTGAAATGTAACGTGCGTAATAGTTCATCAATACGATTACGTGTTATATTATTTGCAATAATTTCTTGCATTGACAATTGTGACCAGTAATCGTCTTTACTAGGCAATCTGATCAATGAGGCATAAGATAAAAATCCTAGTAATTGATAAAAATCCAAATCATTCATTGGATCTTGTTTTAAATTTTGTTGTGTACGATATAAATTAGATTGTTGAACTATGTGATCGACAATATCCGATGATAAAAATAACGTGAAAATGTCAATTGGTGATGGTGAAGATGGTAAATTCACACCTTCCGATAATTCAAATGTACCATCAAATTGAGGTAAATGTGCTTCAAGATCACCTTCTATCCATTCGGCATCAACTGATGTATCACTATCATCTACTTCATTGTCATCTGAATCAGAATCATCGGATTCATCAGATAAATCACCAGATGACTCCCCGGACGAATGGGCCATGTTATCATCTTGATCATCATGATCAACGTTGTAATCACTATCTGTATCTGTATCCGCATTTGATGCCAGGGTATATCGAATATGTTCATCGGAACTTAGAGAACTTTTGTCTGAATTAGACATTGTCTAAAACTAATACAAAAACAATTTGATAAAAACGTTTCAAAAAGACATCATTCTTTGTTAGTCTGTTAGGCTAATCTCCAGAAAGTTTCACTTAAATTGATCTCATGATCATACATAAGACGAGACGAAGCGCAACAATACAAAAGCGAGAGTGAAAGGTGACATCACGTCAGCGTCCATTGGTTCATTTAGGAAGAAAACCATCCATGAAAGGACTGAATGCATGAAAAGAAAACAAGGAGAGAGGGAAATAGGCAGCGGCCTACGTGACACTGATCCCTACCTACCATTACGTTAATTGATTACTTAATCGTGCATAGTTGTCAGCAAGTATTATATAGATATATATAACAAAACGATATGTACCAAAAAAGTAATTTCTTTGAGTCATTTTTCAAGGTGAAGAATTCCAATATCAATAATAAAAGACAAACCCCTTTTATAATCATGAAAATAGACTATTTTCTGTTGGAGACGTTTACTCTTTATTCAAAAGATATCATCAATCAAAAGTGACCGACGATAGTTGATTCAAATAACAGATAAAATGTAATACATTTATGTAGAACACAATACATTAAAATAGATAAAATTAGACTTTTCCTTTTTCTACAATATATTCAGACTGAATTTTATTTATTGCGTTCTCCATACATGTATTACATTTTATCTGTTATTTTCAATCAACTATCGTCTGTCACATTCGTCTGATGATGTCTTTTGAATAAAGAGGAAACGTCTCTAACAGAAAATAGTCTATTTTCATGATT